ATATTGCTGATGGGGGATTTGGCAAAGTAGAAAAAGCTGAGTGGCAAGGAGGAGTAATTGAAAATTGAAGCCATGAAGAAAATGAGTGAAAAAGAAAAGGAGATTATGACGGTGAGGGTTATGATCATGTTGGAGAAGAAGTAGAATTATACACTAAATACAAAAACTACAAAACAGTAGCCTTAAAAGCCCTCTCTAATTCCCAAAATCTCAATCAAGACTTTTTACAAGAACTAACTCTTTACAAAATGTTCAGAAGTGAAGTAAGTAATATGGTGCCTTGTTATGGGATTTCTAAGGATTTAGAGGGCAATTATATTATGGTGATGGAGTTTATGAAAGAAGGCGATTTAAGAGAATATTTAAGGAAGAATTATCGGGAGTTAAAGTTTTATAGTGATGAATATGGAAAAACTGATAAACTTAAATTTCTCCGACAAATCACCCAAGGTCTAAAAGATATCCATCGTAAGCATTTAGTTCATAGAGATTTCCATAGTGGGAATATTATAGTAGGTAGTGAATATGATGATGGTAGTGGAGTTGAGTGTCGTATCACCGACCTAGGCTTATCTAAACCAACAGATGAAGTAGACAGTAGCAAAGTTTTTGGAGTTCTGCCTTATGTAGCCCCCGAAGTTTTACAAGGCAAACCTTATACCCAATCATCAGATATCTATTCCTTAGGCATGATTATGTATGAAACGCTAACTGGTTTACCTCCTTTTACTGGTGAAAATCATGACGTTAACTTATCCTTAAAGATTTGTAGAGGAGAAAGACCTAGTTTTAGTAATCCTAAAACTCCTAAACAAATTAAATATCCTCAGATATTAGTAGATTTAATTAAAAGATGCTGAGATAATGAACCTAATAATAGACCTGATGCTAGGGAAATAAGCAAGATTATGAATGATTGGTTTTATAATGAAAGTGGATTTGGTAAAGATGGTCTCTATCATTCAAAAGGTGATTTAAAAACAGACACCGAATTCTACCAACAATATGAAGAAGCCAAAAACCATAACAAAACCTTACCAGATGAAATCAAACATCCTACTTACCACTCCTCAGAAACTTGGCATAGCAAACCCATAAATACTAAACAAATCACTAAATTATTACAAGGAGACAGTAAACTTTTAGAACTAAACCTGGATAATTTTAACATTCAAGAAGAACCAGAACAAACCCAAGCCCAAATCCAAATCCCTCCCAAATAAAAATTACTCCCTTTCTACCTAAAAATACTGCTTCTTCCTAAGGGCAAATTTTAAATTCTCCGTTATTATTTTTTCAATTTTTCTATAAGTGGTGGATAGTTTGCTTTAATTCTTCCACCTGTTCTTTAGTTAAATCGGTGAGTTTCATTACGTAAAGAACATCCATTTTGTCATTGAGTAATCTTTTAGCTATCTCTTTTTTTACTTCAGTGCTTGTTTCAATTTTGGCCTTCTTTAAAGAATTTTTTCATGGCTTCAATTTTCAATTACTCCTCCTTGCCACTCAGCTTTTTCTACTTTGCCAAATCCCCCATCAGCAATAT